CCCCCCTTTCGATTAGTACGCTGCAATCGTTTTTGACGCGTCATTTGGGTTGGAAGCATTTGTTGGAAAGCACAAAAAGCAGAAAATTGCTTTAGAGTTCAGCAGATCTTACCTGATTTAGAAGCAGGTATGATCCAATGTGAAATGAAACTAAGAACTGCGCCAGTCCATATGCCAGAAATTTACCAACGAGCGTGGCTGTACGCAAATAAGACGTGATGCGTTTGAAGTGCTTCTGATCGACAATAACGTACATTAACGAGAAATATGCAATTTCGGATGCTGTTGATACACCTGCAATAGAAGCTCATAAAACAAGTTAGATCCAAATTATCACTTTTCTGAAATAGAAACAGAAATCATGGACAACTCTTATAGTTAAAGAACTAAAGCCCAGCATGGATTTTGTTCAACTGTGTTTCTGAAAAAGGAGCTAGGCTGATAGTGTGGAAAGGATACCAGCCAATAGATGAGTAGAACAAATAACTGATTCGTACCCGCAACATGTCAAAAAAGCGCTTGGACGAGTCGAGCGGACTCACCAATTCAATTGTACGATGTGTTAAGGATACGGAGAGCCCATGACCAGAGTCGATGGTATGGCCTGTTGGTCCGCCCGAGAAAGTCCCGAATATGTTCATATTCAGTGGTGAACTGGTAGCCGTTTCAAGAACAAGCAAGTGGTGTCCGTAACCGGTACTGAACAAAATCCATGGGCAACTTTTTTCGAGTCAGTTTCTTTTGGATTTTCGATTTCAAAAAAAAGGGAAATGGAAGTTTCCATCTTAAAAAATTATTTTGGATTTTCTAACGGCAAACATTATCGAAAAAAATCATCGATATTCGAAAATCTGCTTCCGGTTTTTCGAAGACACTTGCTTTTTGGCTTTGATTAGTGCAAAACAAACCATAACAAATTTGCATGAGCTGCATCTGCCACAGAGTGGTACCCCAAATTAGAATGGCGGACGTTGCACAGAAAGACGTAGCTTCGAGCATAACGATCGGCCTGTATCGCAGGATATCCGTTAGGAAAAATATTGGTATCTACAAATAATACTACATCAATTGCTTGCCATCGCGCATACAGTATGGCGTAGCTAACTGTAAATCGAAGTACCAAAGCAATGAGGTATGAGTAGCACCAGAGTGGATAGATCTGACTGTACAGCTGAACATCGGTGAAATTCTTATAGGGCGATAGGAGATAGGGTGTGAGGAATGGCGTCGCTGGGCGAAATTTCTTGATGACACCATACGCGCAGACAGTTAGCGCTATGTACTTCCAGTGCATTCGCTAATCCTGAAATTGCAACAAATACCGTTTGGAAAACAAAACATCTGATTCGTTATCCGCGCCAGACACGACGATTCTATTTTTTTGCATAATCGGTGCAATGCAAAAATGCATATTGTCGCAAAGTTTTTCCACCACCTATGTTTGCATATGTATGTGTGCTCGTCTGTTCGAATTTTTCCACAACTTTCAACTGAGCAGGTGAAGAATCTAGTAGACCCTTCGGTACACGTGTGTCCCCTTGAACCTAAAATAAATTCTCAAGCATGGAAATTTGAAAAAATGTGAGAAAGTTTCAGCGCGAAAATGATTCCAGGAATTAGACAATATAGAAAGCTGAAATTTTTTACGAAATGGAAGATTTTCCCAGTGATGACAGGACCAAGATTTACTGATGCTGCTTTAAAAAAACAGAATAAAAGAGAAGTATTTGTGGCACGTCTTTTGATGAAATCCTCAGCAGGTCCTTTCACTGGTTACTGAAATCTTTCTTCGAAAGAAAATCTGAACCTCATCATTCCCCCTTCAAAGAAACCTTGATCAAATCTTATCAAAATACGAAGATAAATGTGCTGATAAATTTTTTGACGGCAACACCCAAACAACACAGTCTATAAATTTCAAC